AGTTTTCATGCCGGGGAGTGTGTGTAGGGAGGAGAGTCCTAATGTCCTCTCATGGGTAGACGCAAGGGATGCTGCTAACATCATGCTACACACAGGATAGCCCCCCACAAAGATTTATCCAGCCCAAATGTCATTAGTGCTGAGACTGAGAAACCCTGATCCAACCTTAACCTCCCACCTCAACATTTCTCCTTTGGAGAAATGGGAGAATGAGAATGTAGCAATAGATCAAAATTAATCATTCAGAATTTCCTGAATGCCCATGAATGTTCAGTTGCCTGAACTTGGTATTCTGAAGAGTATAAAAGAAGAAGATTGTGTTCCCTGTCCTCCCTGGTCCAGTTAAGGAGGCAAGCGTTGCATACCCAGAGGAAGACGGTAAAGGGTAGGTACCAGATGAACGATGGAGGAGGGAGAAAGGAAGACGGCGTCTTGGGCTAGAATGGCAAAGACTTTAGAAGTATTTGGGAAGTGAGTTGACTAGAAGAGCCGGCTTAGGTAGGAGAATGGTAGAAAATTTGGCTTAGCACATCGTATATCCATCCACATGCTATACCTTAATCATTTCATTTATGTGATGGCCCCTGGGAGAGAAGGTGTGTTAAATCCAGAGTGTCTTCCTGGGTTTGAAACCCAAGGGAGAAAGCATACAACATTTAAACTCTGTCATTTCAGCCTTTTGGTTTCTTCTCTTGATCTGTACTTGCCATCCTGTAGATAATCCCAGATTTGCATCTCGGCATTAGCGTGCTCATGAACTCCAGAGCACCTGTGGCTTGCATGCGGTCACTGTAGATCCTACAAGTGTCTCATGTTCAATATCTCCGCAAGTCTGGTCGTTCTTTTTTGTCAGTGATTTACTCTTTACCAGCCACCATGCAAAGTGATTTTTTGAACCACTTTTTTGAGGTACAATTAACATGTAAGAAGTTGTACATACTTAATGTATACAGCGTGGTGAGTTTTAGCTCATTATTCTCAACTTATCCTTTTCCACTAACATTTCCCTCGTGTCTTCATCTAAGTTTATTTGTCCAGTTAGTCAGAAAACGCACCAAGTACTCAGGTATTTAGGACAAAGATGAGTAAGATAGAATCCTTTTTGCCAGTGGATTCTGTGTTACTGGTAAGGTAAACACATAAATTGACAAATCTAGCATCAACTGGAGTGATCAACTTTTACACAGGGCATGCGCAAACAGGAAGGGAGTGCCAGGATGCAGGTCGGGTGGGGCCTAGCAGTGTTGCATGGAGGAGATGATACCTGAGCAGACCTTAAAAGATGGATAGATAGGAAGGAAGATAAGCAGAGGAGAAAATTCTGAGTAGAAGGACTCCATATTCAAGTCAGGGAAGAAAGAAACAGCAGGGCGTGTGCGGCAAATAGCACATAGTTTGGTGTTTCTGAAGCGTGAGGTACAGTGTAAGGAGTATGATGAGAGGGCTGGAGAGGTGGTAACCACTCAGTCTCCGCACTTAGTCACCTGCAGCCCTGCCCTTTCTGGCTGCATACTGCAGGTTCCAGCAGTTCTTAGTGTAACCAGTGCCGCCTCGCTGGTGTCTCTAGGATCTGTCACACTGCTCCCATCTCATCGTAATTCCCTGTCCTACTTAGCCCACCACCTACTGGCCTCCCTCCCTCACCTGTCTGCTCCTCCCCATGGACTGCCCACCTGATGTTAAGCGTTTCCCTTTATAGCTTCATTGTTTGAAGGGCTTGCTTCCGGGCTACAGGAATCACTTCTCTGTGCCTTAGCCTCACTAGTTACTTACTAGAGCACAGATAGTGTGCACTTTTCAGGGCTTCATTTCTTTGCTTAGTTTTAAATGATCATCCCTTTTCCCATCTTTTCCCTTTATTTATTTTTTATTATTATTTTTTTAGCTGAGCCATCCTGCTACCTGTTGGCAGCTCAGCAACAGCTCAGCTCGGGCTGGGACTCGAACCGCTGTTGCTCAGAGCTTGCATTCTTGAGCGAGCTCTTAACCAACTGAGCCACTCGGCCGGCCCTGTTTTCCACTTGTTGAAATCCTCCTTATCCCAAAGCTACTTGGCCTGCTTTCCTGTGCACCATCACAGTACTTTGCATGTACTTCATGTTTGTCTTACATAATGATATGTAGCCTACGTGTGCCCTAAGAGACTGACCTGGGTTTAAAGGGCACCTGTGCCATACCCTGGGCAAGTGACCTTCCCGAATTTTTATCTTTCCTCTCTTCATCTGTGCTGAACTCCTTTGTTATACTGGGTTGTAGGATTAGACTCGCAGTTCTTTTAACTCCGAGTAATTTTTTTTGCGGGGGAGAGAAGTTGGGGGAAGGGAACAGACAAGTTGCTGTTCTTTTGTCCTTCAGTCTAGTTGTGGAGGATGACGCTTCACTGGCCCATGTTGGTATTATGATCATTTCGCTCTTCCCAGATGAAGCAGATCAGTCGCCGGCTATTGGACAGCCGCTCACAGCGGCTCACGGCAGCTCTTGCCAGCTGCCAGCCGCTCATGGTAACTCACGGCAGCCCACTGCAGCTCCACTCCAGCCTACACCGTCGCCGCCACTCACGGCAGCCCAGCTCCAGGTGGAGCTGTTGTTCACCATCTTAGCTGTATAGGGCACATTGTCACTGGCCCTCATGTGTTCTTGGACAAGTTACTCAACCCCTCTGAGCTTGTTTACTCATCTTTATTATGAGGATAATAATAATGTCTAACTCATAGAGTTTTAATATAAATTAAATGAGTTAATAAAGCTTGTAAAACATTTGCCCTGTATAAGACATATAGCAGTAGCTTACATTTATTGAGTATATATATATTTATTAAGAGATTAGACCCCTGACCTGAAAGATGTATTGATATAAGATTTTCTTGTCTCCATTTTTTGGACTCCTGAAAGCCATTGGTTCTATGACATCTCATTAGCTCAACCATGGCCTTGCCTTCTCTTTGTATTTGAAAGCTGACTTTTCTTTGTTGCCCTGAAGGTTCCTGGACGTTATGGCCAGTGCTCTGACTGCTTATCTTCACCACATCTCTTCTGAAAACCTATTGAAAGCTGTGTATTCATTTTGCTTGATGAACCATTTTCCCCTGGCCCCAATTAATCAGCTTCTTCAAAAGGACATCATCAGTGAGCTGCTGACATCAGGTGGGCTATCAGGGCACAGTGGTGACTGAACTGACAGTGCCACCAGCTACCTTGTGACTCTGCAGGGGGTCTTGGTTGGAGCAATGGTTGTCACTGAGCATGCAGAGCAGGTACAACTGAGGAAAGGGCCGATAATGGCGAAGCGAAGGGTTGGTGCTTTAAACCAGCAAACCTATGGAGCCACCTTGAATGACAGGTCCTGTGTATTAGGCAGGAATGAGAAACACATCATCATCATTCTTTTTATTTACACTTTATGCACCTATGCAGAGGCTAAATGTTGACATCATTCTTTATGCCTTAATTGGAAACGTTTGCACTTCCTGATCCTTACCTGTCACATCTGAAGCCAAGTTAAGTCAACTTTTGCAGCTCTTACTGCGTTGTCTCTCATGGTCTTAATGAGGGCTCAGCCTGTTAGATCAAGAAACCAAATAGTTACCAAAGTAGCGAACTTCTTTGCTCTAGGAACCAAATGAATTGTTGATTTTTGGTCTTTAATATTAAACAAGGAAAAGCAATATCAGGTTAGGTGTACAAAATATGATGGTGTGCCCAAGAATAGAGTAGTTTAAATTCTTTTTAAAACAACGTTATGAAATTCCAAAGTGGCACTGGGAAGAAGGGAGACCACGTGTGGATTTTTCAAGCAATCTAATGTGGGGGCAACAGTGTGGAGCCCAGGACACTGGGATTCCAGTCCCAACTGTGCCTATAACCGTGAGGCATCTAACCGTTCCTGGGCAGTCCCTCGTCTCTTCAATGAAGAGTTTAGACTAAACCACCTTGAAAGATACTTTCAACCTGAAGACATTATCAAGTCCTAGGTATTCATCTAGATACCGTGAGAACTAGGGAGACACAGAGAAAGTCCTCCTGATAAGAAACAGATACAGTAATCAGAAATATAGGTGCATTCGTACAGGTTCTTAAATGTGCATTGATATTTTTCCTTAACTACATATTTCCTTTCTCTTTTTAGGTGATGTGGAGAGGAATGTCCACAAGCTTCGTATTTTGACTACCTGCCTAAAGCTTGATGATACTCCTTATAACAAGGCCACAGACTTCGCACTGCCACCGCTGCTGTCCGCACCGTCATGTCCTAATGATAAGGTTGCTGAAGCGCTAAGGAGCCTTCTGGGAGAAGGATCCTTCTCAGAAAATGTGCAGTTACCGTATAATTATCATATCGGTATGATATGAGTTTCCTTTATTCTGTTCCATTTATTTTCCTGACAGAAGGTTAGGAGCTTAGCATGGCAGCGTGGTGCCGTGCCCTAAGCTGGCCTGCCTGGGTTGGGACTGTCGCCGCACTACTGACGCGTGCTGGGACGTTAGGCACTCGCAGCCTCCCTCCCCTTCTGTATGAAATGGCAGTAATAGCGCCACCTCCTAGGATTCCTGTGGTGAGTAAATGAGATTGTACGTGTGACATCCAGACCAGTGTCTGGCACATGGTAAGCTCAGTACATTGTAGCTGCTGCCAGCATGATTGGTAGTAGTAGGATACATTTGGAAAGAGAAAATCACTTTGAACAGTGTTTGAAAACTTAATATCAATCTTTTTCTTTCAGATTTTGAAATCAGAATGGATACTAACAGGAGTCAAGTGCTTCCACTTTCTGACGTGGATGTGGTAACTCCTGCTGCAGATTTCCAAAGGTTGCTTACTTATATTCGTTTGCTGAGCTTTCTCAACTTAAATCTTAATTCCCAAAGATTTCCTATTAAATAGCAGTAACAGTACTAAGGCCTTATATTTGCATGGAGCTTGTAATTCACCAAGAGACTTCTCATGCATGAGTTTACTCCTTAGGTGTAAGGGTGGGCACTGGCTGAAGATAGAGGACTGGAGTTGGACCATTTAATGAAATAGGCAATTTTAAAAATTTTAGGTTTTACTGCTAAACAGGTCAAGAAAATAATGTTAACATAGTTTGAACGATCAGTGCTGTGTAAACATTTGACAAGATAATGTAATAGTGATCATAAAGAATTAAGGCTTCTATACTACAAAACCAAATACCCAATAAACATTTTGCTCTGCCCCAAGACGTGTAAAGGTAGAGAAACTTGAGCTTTTTAATGAAGCTGTATAGTACATGGGTTAACCTGTACTGAAGTTAATCATAGTTGTTTCCTTGGCCCCACACACTACAAATGGGGTGTTTCTGGGAGAAATGTGGTGCTGTGCCTGGAGAGAATGTCCTGCCTTTCAAGCAGGTGCATCAGATCGTGTTGCACACACCCCATGTTCAGTCAGCCATTGTGGAAAAGCTCCCCTACGCCTGGTGGGGCGCCCGAGATGAGTCAGACATGGCTCCCGACCCCAAGGGTTTCATGTCCCCTATTGCTTTATAGGACATGCTCATAAATACAGTAGAGAGAGTTACAGAAAAGAGTCTGTAGGGATTCCCTCTTACCTGCCCATCCCTCTCCATTCACGTACAGCTCGGTAACTTTTTCCCCTTTCTGAATCCATCTAGCTTGTTCCTTGGCCATCTTTCTCAGGTGCTGTCTTCCCTATACATGTTACTAATATCCCCTCAAAAAAGGCTTTCTGTCTGACGTCACTTAAAGATCATTTTTCTTTCCCAGGTACTCCACTGTTCTGGCATAATAATATAACATAGTAGCTCTCAGTGTAAAGTATTGAGAAAAAGTGAGGAATCTGAGCATTCCTTTAAATATATAAAATTTCTCTTAATGTTAGCTTAGATAATAGCCAGATTATAACAGGAGACAGTAAGGATACAGATGTCTTTCTTTCGCCCAATGGACTTTAATCTCTCCAAAGGTGAAGAACAATGAAAAAAACAAATGACACATTTCACATTTTTGTTACACATACAAATTTTATCTTTTTAACAGTCTTACCTTTCCTTTAGTGTTTTCTTCTCTGTATTTGGTCTCACTATTCTCATTGTTAAATGCTCTCTCTGGGAGGCAGTATGTACAAGCAGAACATTGATTATTTGGTACTAATCCTTCTACTAGTAGCGTAATTAATTACATTTAGATCAAAGGTTAGCACTGCGCAGAATGCCTTAAAATGGGAGTGCTCATTTCTGAAATTTTTCTTCATCAAGAATATAGCCACCCTTAAAGATGGTTTAGGGATAACTGTTTGTGTAAAGCATTATTCTAAGCTTTTGGTTACTAAAGTAGCCTTCATAGACTGGAGTAGCTACAGAGGCCAAGTAACAGGGCAGCAAAGGACTGAGACAGTGGGACGTGGTAAGGACTGCGGTCCATGGAGAGCTCAACTTTGCAATCTCCAAAGAGCAGGAGTACAGCCAGCTTGTAAACGATAGTCTCATTAGCAACTAATCTCATACTATATTTTTGTTTTCAGGGTAGCTGTACTATGTGTTTCTAGATCTACTCACTGTTTGGATTCAACCCATCCCAGAGGATTCCTTGCTATGAAAATGCGGCATTTGAAAGCCATGGGTTTTCATGTGATTTTGGTAAGAAAAACATGCAAATGAAATATTTTTCAAGTTACTGAGGTCTATTCTGCCAGGAATGTTGTGGTTACAGCTGGTTCCTAGGACCCTACAGGAATTGTCAGCAGTATTAGAATAAGTATTTTAGTTATTATTTGAAAAAGAACATTTCTAGTACATGATCTGGCTTCTACTCAGGCGATTACTGTCATTTAGTAGGGTTTTATAAATGCTATGTTTTGTCAACTGTAATTCTTTTTGCTAAGAGGAAAATGTAAGTAATGTATTTTCTTATTTAATTTAGTACACATGCAACCATACTCAGTTTATAGGTTATCATGAACAAGGGAGGAAAAGATGTTAATTAAACCTGTGTTTTCACCGCCAGTGTGAGGCTGTTATAGGATGTTTGTCACCAGAAAAAGCTGGATGGTCGTAAGGGTGGTTCTTCCTCTTTCCTCTTCTGCTTCCTTTTGACTCCGAGCACCACAGCTTTTCTTTTTTTTTTTTTTTAAGCTGAGCCATCCTGCTGCCCGTTGGCAGCTCAGCGGCTGCTCAGCTCGGGCTGGGCTCGAACCGCTGTTGCTCAGAGCTCACACTCTTGAGCGAGCTCTTAACCAACGGAGCCACTCGGCTGGCCCCACCACAGCTTTTCTTGAACAGCCTCTCCAGATGTCTCTGAGGGAGCAAGAACTTTACGAATAAATTTATATTCATGCTAATGTTGGGCTCTATCTAAATGCCACTCATTCAGTCCTGCACATAATGTGAAATGGAAACATTTGAATCTTCATTATGTGCTTTAGTATCTAAAAATGGATTATGCATGAATACTGAGGTTAAGATGACCCATTTCTTTTAACGGGTTACTATTTAAGACTTTTTTTTTCTTCATATTGGCTATTCTATATATTCTAGGGAAGATTATCCCAAGGAAGAACTTTTTGCACCCTTTAGAGGACCTTTAAAGTTTTTATAACTTTCAGTGTTAGCATTTTCTTCAACCCTAGTCTTACTAAGCCTTTAAAATATGAGTAATTATAACATAACATTTGCTTTTAAAAAGCAGTCAGCTTGATGTTACTTTAATACCCCTGGGTCTTGAAACTAGCTTTATTTCATGTATCAGCGTTTTCTTGCAAACTGATCATTTTCCTTTTTCTTTGATAAGGTCAAAAATTGGGAGATGGAAAAACTAGGGATGAAGGATGCAGTCACATTTTTGAAGTCTGAAATCTATTCGCCTGAAGACCCTCCAACTGCTGATGTTAATTTTCAAAGCACATGTTAAAGTACAAAGCAACCTTTTCATATTAGGAGACATAAATTTTTAAAAATGACTTTAATAAAGACGACAGTTCAGATGTCATTGGAATTTACCTGACTGCTCACCGTAACAAAAAGTGTTACTTCAGTTCACTGTTAAAATTAATTTTAAGAATGGAGGCAATATTCTTATTGGTATTTTAGAATATGGTAAGAAAATTACAGAAGTGTCATTTTTTCCAACCATAACTATTCCCTCTAGTGCCCAGATATTTGACAGATTCATGAGCTGTAGGCTTTCCTGTTTCTCATTAGTTTTGATGGATTGGAAACTAGTTTCTTAATTGTGATGGGTTGCAGGTAAGTTGTTGTGGGCAGTCCTTGGATTTGGATCTGCATATTTATACTCTTGCTGTGAGCTATTCAGCAACTCAGGCATTGACCACGTTTTCAAGCACTGGCCACATAGCAGTTGGACCAGACTCTCAATTGTAGATGGTAACAATGAGGGAGGTAGCAGGTTAAAAATGGGTGAGGATTGGACATCTGCATTTTTCACAAACATGCTAGGTTGAGGTGGCTTGTGGGCCATATTGAGAAACAGATGAAGTAACACAGAGATGGCAAGGAGGCCAAATTTATTAAAACTGATAGGCTGTGGGTTGCTAACATCATAATTCTTGCCATTGTTGAGGTAATTCCTTTTTCTTTCTTTCCCTCTCCCCCTCCCACCATTTCGTGATGTCTTTTAAATTATATACAGAGTGCGCCCAAAAAATGTATACACATTTTAAGAAAGAAAAAAACTATTAAAATTACACTGGTGGTAACCACTTTGAGCACCTCTTGTAATTGCAGAAGTCAAATGTAACTTGTATTCATCTTTTGTTTTTGGTATATACTGAGTATTACAATTTTTTTTTTTTTTTTTAGCTGAGCCATCCTGCCACCTGTTGATAGCTCAGCGGCAGCTCGGCACGGTCCGGGAATCGAACCGGCGACCTTGTTGCTCAGAGCTTGCACTCTTGAGTGAGCTCTTAACCAACTGAGCCACTTGGCCGGCTTGAGTATTACAATTTTAATATGGCTGAACAGTGTTGTGAGTCAGACTCGAGGACTATTTTTCAATTATGTTTGTTCATTCTTTTGTTGAAATATTTGCTCAGTTTGCTGTCTACCTGTCTACCAGTATTTGGTTCACTGGGGATACAGTGAGTTTCATGTAAGTTGGTAATATTTTACCAACTTATTTAGTATTTTTTGGTATTATTTTACCCCCATGCAAAAGACTGAAAGTTTATGTCACCTCAGAATTCATATGTTGAAACCTAACCCTCAATGTGATGGTATTTGGCGGTAGAGCTTGGGAGATGATTAGTCATGAGATTAGAGCCCTCATGAATTCAATTAGTGCCCTTATAAGAGAGACCTCAGGGAGCTCCCTCACTGCTTCAGCCGTGTGAGGACTCAATGAGAAGATGACCATCTTTGAATCAGGAAAAGGGGCTCTCACCAGACACCAGGTCTGCCAGAGCCTTCATCTTGGACTTTCTAGCCTCCAGAACTGTGAGAAATAAATTTCTGTTGTTTATAAGCCACCTAATCTATGGTATTCTGTTAATGTCAGCTCAGGTGGACTAAGACAGCCCAAATATACAGACATGCAATTACCGGACATCTTACTCTATGCCAGGCACTGCTAAGTTCACATGTATTCTCTCTTCTTAATGAGAATGAGTTCTCTGAGGTGCAGCTGCTATTAAGATTCTCTTGGGTCCTTTGTTTCCTTATTGCCAATATGAGGATAAATTATTTGCTGGGGCTAAACAGATAGTAGGTCAAGGCTAGAGTTTGAACATGAGCTGACTTTATGGGCTTATGAGAAAAGTAGCCAAGGAACCCGGGGTTGGCAATTAAAATACTCCAGCAATAGGACTGCAACTGTCAGAGGTTTTATCCATGTATTCAGCCTGCGTTTAGAAAAGGTCAGCGCTGGAAGTTTAGCAATCATTTAATCCACCTCCCTCATTTATAGAGGAAGTTCAGGCAAAGAATTTGATTTTTCTGGAGCCTCAGCCGCATGACTGATTTCCACATCGCGTCGTCCTCCACTGCTCTTTAGCTCGTGTCTCAGGAAAACGACTCTGGTTCCAGATCGGGCACAGCTGTATTGCGTGGCTAAATGATTTAACCCTTAAAATGTCAGAACAAGGGTTAAATATGCTGTTATTAAAGGAACTAAGATTCAATCTTTAAATGTTAAGTGTGTCTCTGTCTTCTATGACTCACATTCAAAGGATTGGGCAAATTTGTGAATACTTGTAACTACCTTTAGCGGAAGTAGTTCTCCCGAATTTGTGCCAGTTGGCATGGCAGATAAAAAGGCATTCCTCTTTTACTAGTATTACTAGTATTAACATTCTTCATTATTTTGTGATCTAAGAAAACCTTGCGAGACTCAAGGTTCAGAAAGAAGAAAACAGTTTAATCATATATGTCTTCTTAGGGTTATTAATATAAATAAAGACTCACTCCAGGAGAATATATAAATAATCTCCCTTTCTGGTATTTATTTGACTTTCAAGAAAAAGCAAAACTATACAACCCCAGTTGTGTGGGCCTGTTTCTCACACAATGAGAGAATCAAAGAATAAACAAAAGGTGGGAGTTTATAAATCCAAATTCTGACTGTTCTTAATCAAATTGCAAAATACTTTATATCTTAGCACCACTATCCATTTTAAAAGGTCAAAACTAATCTATTTTACTGTATTAACCTACTAAAAAGAGTGACTATGAAAGGTATAAATTGATAGATATGTTTATGTATATGGCTTGCTTCTGATATAGTCTTATGCTAATATCAGCCACCTTCTGAAAGAAATTAAGTGATTGTAAAAGACTGATTTTTTTGGTATATGTCTAATTCTGTCTTCTGACTCTGAACTTTTTTTTGCTGTTTACACATGTTTGGAGCAGTGTTAAGATTAGGTGTTTGTTGTTGTTGTTTTGATTCTTGAATTTCTTTAAAATGTCAACCTACATTATAATTATATCAACTGTACACAAAGCTAAGCATCAAGTCAAGGGAAAAAATACGTGATATTTATGACAAATATCTAAAGCGCTTCTCTAATTTGATGAGAAACAGTGACATTACAAAAGATAAATGAGCAAAGAGCTGATCAACATGGAAAAATTTCAGTCTAATAGTAAAATCATGCACATTCAAATAAGATACTTTTGCCTTTCAAATTAGCAGTTTTTCTTTTTTCTTTAAGAATTACAGTGCTGACAAAGGTGTAATGAGGCAGGCACTCACATATGCTGCTGGAGGACTAAATTAGCGCTACCCTTCTGGAATGCACTTTGTGGCTCCCGTACTCCCCATGTTTTAAAAAATAGCTTTATTGAAGTATAATTGACAAGCTGCATATATTTAAAGTATCAATTTGATAAGTTTTAACGGATTATATACATACATATAAGAATCCATGAAAATATCACCACAATCAAGATAATGAACAAGCCTGCCTAAGAGTTTCCTCCCTCTGCCTTTCCCTTTGTTCCCTGGAAATCACTGATCTGCTTTCTGTCACTATGGAATGGCCTTTGGCTATATGCATCTGGAGTCTTGAAAATATTGGCATCTTGTTGACATTGTCGTCATTAGATTTTTAACCATCTTTGTGCCTATAAAGTATATACTTGATAAATACTTGTATTATTCCTACATTATGTGTAAGGATTCTTATCACTCCACTGATGATATTTTACCACATCAGAGCCAAACACTGGAAACTTTAAATGTTCAGCATCAGTGAAATATATGTGTCTTCTAAGCTATTGCTGCTGAGAGTGTGGTCCACAGACCAGCAGTATCAGCATCATCTGGGAGAATATTATTATAGAAACACAGCATCTTCAGACCCATCTCAAACCTACCGAACCACAACCTGTATTTTAACAATATCCTAGGTGATTTGTATGCTCATTAAAATTTGAGAAGCACTGTTCTAAGACATAATATTAATATTTGTAAAATATGATCTGGATGTGCCATAGTTAATGACACAAGGAAAATACAATTATATTAAGTGGAAAGACAAATACTATATACTAGGATTCAAATTTTGTTTGTAAAAAATGCAGTTTAAACAGTGATTAGAGGTGCATAAAAAGACAGGAAGGGAAGGGATAAAAATGTAGAAAGCGGTATTTCTGAGTAACAGCATTGTGAGTGATTTCAGTTTTCTTTATACTTTATTTTTCATATTTTCAAGAATGAATATCACACTTAAAATTGGAAAACAAATCATAGTTGATCCCAATTCATTTCTAATGTTTGATTCTCCAAATAGCATTTAGGGATAACCACTAAGAGCTTAACTTAATATGCACCCAGAACTATGGGGGTTATAAAGAAGTTCAGAGAACTACTCAAGTTGCTTATAAGAGAAGACACCATTATTGTGTGTCAGAAGATAGCCTGATGGATGACAAGGCCCAAAGCAGAACCTAAGAGGAGGTCAGAGGAGAAAGGGATCACTGGGTTGGGTTTTCAGAGCTCGCTATGCAGGGAAGGATGAATAAGATTTGGCAACACGCAAAGGGAGAC